TATGTTATGTCTCACCTTTACAAAGGAGGTGAGAAGTCCAAATTCCAACTGAATACAAGCAAGCAAGCAAATCCAGTAATTATAGAGTTAATTCCTTGAGCCGATAAAGTTCTTGGCAGTCTCACACATGCTGTCTGCCAAGTCCAACAAGAAAGCAGGAATATAAATCACACAAGCTGTCACAACACAGAATACTCCGGAGCTCCTCTGAATAAGTCACACGTTGTCCCGTACGAAACACTCAGAGCGAACACACCCACTTTTATTCCCTGTGGGGTGTGTCAGTCCCTCAGCTCAGTCTCTGATTCGTCCCTTCCTCCTGCGTTGCAGCTCACACTTTTGCCTGCAATGCTGCCTCGCATCAAGCCCGCATTCCTCTGCTTGATTCTCAGTCAGAGACTCTGATATGCCCTCCTCCTTTTCCTGATTAGCTTCAGGTCTTGCCTCTTGGTTGTCTGCCGACACCTGAGGCACAATCAGGGAGGAAGGCATTGCCGAAGAGGAAGGTCCTGGGGAGGAAGGCATTTCCAAATCCTCCTCTTCCTCATTGTCCGAGTCTTCGTCCTGTAACAATGCAGGCTCAAACCTCAGAGCCACAACATACATACATACATACATACATACATACATACATACATATGTTTTAATTTCTTTTTTCTGTTTTTGTATTTTTTTGTTTACTGCATTTTATTTTTTATTTTTCCTTTTTAAAATTTGTATTAGTTTTTATTATTGTAAATTATAATCTTTATAAAATTACTACAGGAAAAAGCAAGAAAAAAAAGAGAGAAAAGTCTCCTTTTTACATTCGTCTTTGTAACCGACTCAGTTTCACTTTTGGATTATAAATAAAAGTATGCCATCCACCAACTGCAAAATTTGATGAAGAGAAGTGAATCATTAGAGGAACTAATGCTATGGTCTATAATGCTGGTGTTCTAGCTTGTGATGCTTAGCAAAGCCTGCTCCAGTCTGATACTGATTGCTGAGCTTTATTGACATTGAATGCCTTCGGATCATATACTTCTAGTTCGACTTCATTTAATTTAATGTTCTTCTGTGTTTATTTCCCTTCTATGCTCCTTTGAGGAGTTTTATTGATCCTGGCTAGAGCTTCTCAAACTCATTTTTCCAAATGAGTTTCAGTGTAATGTTTAGTTGGAAGGAGAAACATTGCATATAGATTGCAGAATACCATATTGTGAAGCTTTCTTTACTTTCTGTGCTGCTGTAAATAGATTGCAGTCTTCTCCTGCCAAACTCCTATGAAACCTCTTGTGTTTGCTTGCTCTAGACATAAGCTCCAGAGAGCTGCTTCTCTGGAAGTGTCCAAGTCTGGACTAAGCTTTACCATCAAACTGGGGAAATGTGAGCATTGCATAATTAGCAATGAACTCTACCTAGTCCCCACATAAACTACAATCATGCATAGTAAGCAATCAGAAACAAAATGATTAGCAGGTTTATGAAAAAGCAAGGAACAGCACAGCAATCAATCTCTGCCTATGATGACTCTCCCAACGCTTCCCCAGATACCTCCCCAGATGTCAGCTCTGAGGAGGATGAACCAATTGCAGGCATGTCTGGCGCGGAATTGGTCAGTGGCTCCAAGCAGCTGTATGAGAGGGATTTGGCTGAAGAGCAGCTGCAGCAGGACAGCCCTGAGGCTTCAGATGGGTAAAGTACACAGCTGCAGCTGGTCAGCAAAGAGGAAGAGGAACTGCCTTCTGTACCTGATCCAAGAACACATTAGTCAGGAGCAGAGAAAGTCAGCCTAATTACTTGTGAGGAGACAGCCTCACCATTCTTGATGGACTGCACTGGAAGCTGGCTATTTAGCATAGCAGACAGATGGAGGAGATGCTGGGAAAAATACATTGATTTCCTAGTTGTGTGTTTTGTAGTCATTGTGATTCCTGCCTCACTTTGGATTGACACCATGCCATGAACTTGTGATTTTTCTTGCCTTGTGAACCCTCTTGTGGATTTAAGTTTGGTGGATTTATTTTGACTGGGAAACTTTCAAGTTGCCTTGTGGACTCATTGGCCATTACTTTGTGGATTAGCATTGGTCTGCTTTTGGCTGGGCTTAATTGGGGCAATTCTGGGTTTTTGGTGAAGGGAATTGCTGGAGAATATTAATAAATGCACTAAACTATTGTTATGTGTGAGTGAGCAGGATAGCACACTTCCACCTGTTCTCTTCTTCCTTTTTCCTATGACAGTCATACACAAATATCCCATTTGATCCTCCTCTTCACTCAGCACACTCACGTACTGGAAAACAACATTCCTTAGTTAGAATATAGATGGCTTTGCTTTAAACTTCACAATTGAACTATGTAATATTCCCTGTGAGAGACTAACATGAAATATTTTTTTCTTTTTAATTTTAAGAACAAATAAATAGAGTTTCAAACCAGCCTCAACAGAGTATGTATGACCCATTTGCTGGTATGAAGACTCCAGGTCAGAGACACCTGATTACTCTACAAGAGCAGGTGAAGTTGGGGATGCTCACTGTAGATGAAGCTGTCCTGTGTTTCAAAGAGTGGCAGTTAAATCAAAAGAAGAGAGCAGAATCATTTCGCTATCAACAGGTATGTATTTTAAAGAGATGAAAATTACAAATCTTATTACTAAACCTACTTCACCTTATATATCCTATTATTTTTAATTTGTTTTTGTTATTGCAGGAAAGGTTAACTGCTACAGTTTCTGCTCCATATCGATCCATAAATAGCATAGTTGAGTTTTTAAATAGAATTCAAATATTCAAATATTAATAGGTAAAAATGATAAAAATATTCTCTAGAATAGACAGAACTTCTGATTTATGTAAAAAAACCTCTTAAGGTAGCTTGTGACAACTGGAATACTTTTTATCCTAGAGGAATATTTCCCCTCAGCTTCTTCATCAATGAATAGTAAGGTAAGAGGAAGGTTTCTGAAAATTAAACTAATTCTCTTTGTATAGTTGCCCACTCCATAACAGAAATCTCTTTTTAACCCAGTTTTTATCTGATCATGACATCCTTTTTACAAGAGACTTGGGCTTTACAAGAACCCAATATAGATAGTTCCTATATTAGCTAGTCAAGTGACAAAGGAGGGACACGTAAAAGAGCCTGGCAAAATTCATCTCATTAGCTTTCCAGACAGTGAATATTCCCCTCCAGATTGCATGTATGGGCAGCAGCCCGCACTTGCGTATTAAAGATATTTCAATACTTTTATTACACCTTTTATTAGGACAGTGCGGTGGCTGAGCAGTTAAGATGCTAGGCTTGCCAACTGGAAAGTTGGCAAGCCGGGTTTGAGACCCAAGGACTATGCAATGGGGTGAGCTCCCATCCTCACTCCAGCTCCTGCCAATCTAGCAGTTTGAAAGCAATCAAATGCAAATAGATAAATAAGTACGTCAGTGGAAAAGTAACAGCGGTCCATAGTGTCATGCTGTCCACATGACCATGGAAATGTCTTTGGACAGTACTGGTTCAATGGCTTTGAAACAGAGATGACCACCACCTCCAATAATTGGCAACAATTAGCAGTGTAAAATCCACAAGGACTCTTTTCCTTTATTATCCACCTCTTTACAAATAGGGTACACATCTATGAAAATAACTCAACAATTATTTGGAAAAGTGGCTTGTGTCTAAGCCTTCAGCTTCTACCATATTGTATGGGGATTTCAATGATTGAATGGAACCAGAGGCAGTTCTTCCTGTCATAGTCTCCCTCCCTAAGCAAAAGAGGATTTTGTTCTCTGTCTTTGCATAGCTAAGAATGATATTCATAACCTTGCACAATTTTGACTGGCTAACTGTTTTGACTTACTTGATTTTAAATGGGCCCGTAGCAGGAGATACTATGTACTAGTTGGGGTTTCTATTTCAAAATGCTGGTATCTTCTAACCAAGGTATCAGTGTAAATTCTATGAAAATTGAGACATGCCCGGATAGTGATTTCCCTTTTCTTTTAAGGACTGATTTCCCTTTCAAACTAGCACAATCTTTCATTTGTAGAAATAGAAACCTTATATATTATATGGTATTAAAACTAGAATATTTCCTTGTCTAAAATCTTAAATGAAGAAGAATTATGCAATGAGAGCCATCAGGCAGGCCTCCGAATCCTTTTTATTCAAATCTGCAGAAACATAATGCACAGGATGGTTTGATCCAGAAGTATGTGGCTACCAGAAGTTCTAGTTTGCTTTTATAAACTGTATCAACAATACCCTGCATAAATATCAGTATGTAGATTACTAATTTTGAAAATGAAGAAAAAGGAGGCCTCAGTAAAGCAAAGTTGATAATTGCAGCTGAATTAAAATCCCTCTCTATTCTGGCACTTTGTAGACGGACAATTTATATCAAATATCAAGTCAGATCCCCATGGAGGTTTGAAAAAAATCACTTTACAATTCTTTGTAATTCTCAGCCAAATGTATCTGTGGTTGTTTCAACACCCAAATAATAAAAACTCCTCCCGAATGGACACCAGTTTCACTGTCTGAAGTGAAAAGCTTATCAACAGGCCAGGGAAAGTTCCTGACTGTGACCATGTCTTGTTTCAAATGCTGAAATCTATTTTGGCCTTAGTTTTCTCATACATTCATTAATGGAGAAAAATTACCTCCAGATTGTGGCTTAGATTATGAATTTTAAATTAGTATTTGATTCAATATTGAGACCACTTTTATGGAAAAAAACTTAGGGAATTTGACACTGATTTACAGATTCCTCATCCAGAATTTGTATAAAGATTTTAGGAGTAGAATAAGATTGACCCACAAGACCTATAATAAAACCCTTATGCATAGGGGTGTTGGAGAGGGGTATTGCCTAACTCTCTTTGTTGAATTTATACATGAATTCACACTCAGTATATAAGCTCTCATATACATACCACAGAAGAGCAGGAAAAAAGTCTGATTCTTGCCTTATGCAGATGATTTCATTCAAATGTGATCCATCAAAATTCCTGTTTCTCTTCAAAGATAAATACAATAACTTGCCTTTAGTACTTTTATGGAAAAGATTTAGCAAAGTTCATACAGCTATCTGAACCTCCCTTTGGGATGATGGTTAAATTAAATCCATCCTCCATTTTCTGTTGCGCTATTTTTCTATAATGATATCTGGAAAAGATTAATTTTTCTTCTGTGTTAAATGCTCTAAATCAGTTTGAAAATATTATGTTAATTTCTTTCTGTCAGATAAGATTAACTTTATTCTATATAATGAATCAAAGTTTTGCATGTTAACTGCAAATGTATTAAAACAATTAATTTTTGGTCTACATTATTAATATTTGCTTCAATCTTTTATCATGTATGAACATATTATCAATCATATTAATTAGAAATGATACTTTACATTATCTAATATTACATTATTTTATTTCTATGTTGCTTACATTACACTATAAATTAAATTCTCTAATTTTAAGTTTCACTCACAATTATTATTTTTTAGTTTTCAATCCTGATATTAACAGGACAGTGTAATATTTTATATTATTTGGCTGGATTTAGTTACAATATTACGTTTCAAACTGATCATTGACTAAAATGAAGTTTTCTGTCTATCCCCTCCATCTCTCCATCCCTTCATCCCTCTATCCAAGCAATTGGACTATTGAATAATAGTGGAGTGGATAAGGAGATTGCAGAGTTATATGAATTATTATGCCTACATTTACTGTCAGAAAGTTTACCAGAAATACCCATTTTCTTTCTTGCTTTTATTATTTTTATAAATAACTGAAGACCGCAAACTTCTCCAACACACCTTCTTCCTCCTATTTTCCCCACAACAACATATATGTGAGGTGGGTTGGGCTGAGAGAGAGTGACTGACCCAAAGTCATCCAGCTGCTTTTCATGGCTAAGCTGGAATTGGATCTCATTGTCTCCAGCTTTCTATCCTGGTGCCCTAACCACTGGACCAAACTGGATCTCCTGGATTTTTCAGTTTGATTCAATTAATTTTTGCCAGATTTTTATGTTATTAGGAATAAATAGGCATTTGTTCATATTCCTAAAAATTTAATTTTGCATTTCTAGGAAAATCTAAAACGGTTACGTGATAGCATCACTCGACGACAGCTTGAAAAGCAAAAGGCTGGGAAGCATGCAGGTAAAATTCTTAACTAATTAATAACAGTAATTAGTCATTCTATTCATCTAAAACCAAGAAGTAATCATTAGGAAACTCTTGTGTTAATGGTTCATCCTGGCAGATACATTTTTGTAAAGCACTTTATTGGGAAGATGGTGGGAAGATTCACTAAATCTGAGCAAGGAGGAATTGGCTCCATTAGTTTTAATAGGTGTATCTAGCTATTCTATCTATGAAATTTGTAATCATGTTAAATCAGAGTATGGCTACATCAATATGAGTTTTTTATATATCACAGTTAATACTTTATTTAACAACCCTTCTTTTACGAGACGTTGTGTGTATGTCTCTCACATTTATGTCTTGATGACTTCCTGAAAATTAGTGCATCCAAAGTAGTCTACTTACTTAAATTTACATTAGTGCTTATTAATAAATTATGCAATTATATCAGTTTTATCATTTTACTTTATTTGTGTCATTTGTATGATAACTATATTAAATGATATTAATTGCTATAAAGCTCTGGAAACACATCTTCCCACTATATATTACTGTTTTTGTTTTTGTTGATGGTGCAACACTATCATTGCATCACTCATATTAGGCATTAGGCTTTAAATATTACAATTTAAAGAAGCTGTTGCTTCTTCTACTTATAACGATGTATAGATCAAGCTGGTGTGTTTTTGGCTAACAACAATAGTGGTTGGATCATGATTGGATGCTCTTAAGCATCTGTACCACTTTTCTTCTATACCTTTCCTGTTAAAGGTACTTCATCTATTAATATCCTTAATTATTTATTTATATTACTTTTACGTCACTCATTGCCACAGACTTTCTGTAGCGAATGATATAAAAGTAGATCACTCTGCAAGTAGGGGAAGGAGAGGAAGATGGCTGCCATGTGACAATTCTTTTAGTGAGCTTCTTATCCTCTTATTTTAGTTATTTTTATAAGGTTGTTAAAATAGTTTATTTTATCTGTTTTTCTCTAATATTAACTACTAAGGTTATTTTTTTTCACTAGGAGTAGTAATTTTAGGTTTTAGATTTAGGATTAGGTTTTAAACTATGTGTTCTGGAACTTACCAGCTCCAAACATTCTCTGATGAAGTGGAGGCATGTTTTAAAACCCTTTAAACTACCCAAGAATGCAAAAACAAAAGCTAAAGGATTCAAAAAGAAAGTTTAAAAGAAGGCATACATTGTATATATAATTCGGAGGAGACCTTACTTAAACACAACATGGCAGCAATGACACCCAGACAATCAAAGATAAAGGAGTTGTTTCAGATAAGAGACACTGCAAGTAAGTCTCCTTCTTTTTCTCTTCTCCTCTTGTAACCTTTGTAAACAAGTCCTGCTCCTTACTGGATTAGGAGGATGACAACTGCCTTTTTGTGGAAAATTAGGCTCTTAAGAGCATCATTTTAAGAGCATTTTAAAGGAGACTTGGATTTGGTTGCTAAGAATTGGCTCTTGACAGCACAATTATTGCTATATTTGATCAGCTTTTGGAAGCAAATAAAAAGATTGAAGACTTCTATTGGGAAACTGTATCTCTAAATTAGATAAAGAAGTAAATAGCAAAGCCCATGCTCCAAAACTTATTTTTAATCCATGGACAGCTCACGTGGATTGAGTGCCGCAATATGGAGAAGACACGGAAGAGAGGCTAGTTCTACAGAAGCATAGGATGCTACTAAGTTGCTGATAGTCCTTTGAACCTGGACAGGTGGCATAGCAGACGAGTAATACTGAACTGTCTTTGCCAACTTTTACACTGCAGGGTATATTCCAATTAACTAACAAATTTTTGGCTCCCCTGTAGACATGATTGTAAAGGAATATTGTTAGCCTTTGGGCAGATCATTCTTCCATCAATATTATTCCATCTTGAAACCTCTTTAAGGAAATATTGTATTCGGCCAATATGGGTGTTTTATACTACACAAATCCAGTTTTTGCTAAAGTCTGGGCAGAGAGCCAAGACAGTGAGGGAGGCTGACTCTAACCTTGAAAATTCTAAAACATTAACAGCCAAGCAAGGAAACCTTCTATTAACAAGGATAGAACAAACTAAGGATAATAAAAAGAGAACTCAGATCTACTTAATGGATCTGAGATCTACTTAATGGTTACAGTTTATGGATGATGAGGAAGATTTAATCCATCAGTTTGCCACACTTTGCCTAGGAGTTCAACAGCTGATTTTATAGAAAATCAGAATAACCAGTTCAATGTTGAAATCAGTTACTAATGCAACAGAAAATCTGAAGACTCTTCTCCCCTCTAGCTGCTCTTCTGTGGAATTGTTATCAAACTCAGTTTCTGAAAGCACCAAATCCCCAATAAATAAAATGAGAAGCCATGTTAGGCCAAAGGAAAAAGTAAAGGAAAAAGATACTCAGCAGGTACAACTCCAAATTAACCATCTAGTATGACAACTAGATAATGAGAAGCTTGGTTGGAGTGCTCGTGTATTAGTAGAAATGCCAGTCTTAAAGAAATACTAGCTATCAAGATAAAGAAGAGCAACAATTAAACTTATGAGGGGTAATATTGATCTTTACAATAATTATGTTTACACAGAATGTATAGTCACCATTGATCCAGTTCCAAAACCAAGTTGACATTCAGTGCCTTTATTTCCTAATCAACCAACCCAGTCAGAATATCTTGCTTTCAGGAGTCCAATATAAATTGTGACTTGGAACATAGCTGGCTAGAAAGAAATGGCTGATAGTGGACTAGTGAGTTTCTTATCTAAATTTGATGCAACAGCCATCCAGGAAACCTGGCCAATTGAAGAAGACAAATTACTACAACTTCTGGACTTTCAGGGATGGGCTTCCCCTGCCCCAAAAACAAAGAATAATGGGTGACCTTCTGGTGGACTATATATATTTTCATTAAGCAAGAATTGCAATGGCAAGGGGAGAAACTATATAATGATAGGTTTTTGTATTGTTTAGCTGTGAAATTTAGATATGAGGATATATGTATATATTCCTCCAATTACATCCCTGTATTATAACTCTTGAGGCAGTTCTCAACGTTGAGGCAGTTCTCAACATACCACTACAGTTGAGCCCAAAATTTATGCTGCTAAGTGAGAAATTTGTTAAGTGAATTTTGTCCCATTTTACAACTTTCCTTGCCACATTTGTTAAGTGAATCACTGCACTGTTGTTAAATTAGTAACATGGTTGTTAAGTGAATCTGGTTTCCCCATTGACCTTGCTTGTCAGAAGGTTGCAAAAGGTAATCCCCTGACCTTGGGACACCGCATCCATCATAAATGTGAGTAAGTTGTAAAGCATCTGAATGTAAATCACATGATCATCATAAGTGTGAAAAATGTTGTAAGTCAAGGACTACTTGTATTGGATATGTTTAGAGGTCATACTAGATCCATTCTGTTTCCTCAATCTATAATTATATTGCTTGGAGACTTTAATGCTAAATTAGGTCTACTTTGCAGGAGTTTGCTCAAAAGAAAGGATTCCCAAAGGAATTTCTTGAAAATAATTCACTATGGCTTTTTAGAGACAACAAAAATTAAAGAGACTGGTCTGCTCCTAGTCTCTTTAATTTTCAAAGGTAATCTTCAAATCTTGGGAGGATAAGATAATAACTATGTATACTCTCACACATACCACTCAGCCCACTCAAGTAATGTGCTAGATCTCTTCTCTGTATCAAGAGATAAAGTTGACCTCTTTTTAGTGGTTACTGTACATTTAGGTAGTGAAAGTGAAATCAGCCTGTGAATATGACATTACAAGGTCACTGAGATTTAAGATTATATAATACACCCAACACATCGCTCACTAAAAAGAGTGATCCAAAATAAATGGTTAATTTGGGCTAAATTTTAGTTACAAAGCAACTAAAACAGAGAATGCTGTTAACTGGGCTAGAACAATCCAGTCATTACTACTGACTGGCTGCCAGCCTCCAAAGCATTATTTAATCTTTGCAATACACTGAAGAAATATTTAATAACTTCCTGCCAAAAGTTTTTGAGTGGGTGGCTTGATTTTGAATGCCAGTTGTTGAAAAAGAAATTGAAGACATCCATGAGACTTTCTCAGAGAAGTCCTATTGCCCATATACAAGCTGAGATGCTGTATATAAAGAAGAGAATACAGAAAAAAAATCATAAAATTAAAGGGGGAAAAATGCCATTTCAATTTGGTCAGAATTTGAGCTGGTTGCCAAAATCATAACTCAGTAATATTCTGACACTCTGTATCAGGAGTCCTAAAGGAATAGAGATTTGCATTTGATATACCAATCTCTGCTAAGGACTGGGAGAACTACTATCAATGTTTGTTTGCTTCCACAGAACCTGAAACCATATTTTTAAAAAATACATATTTTTATTGTTTACAAATGTAAATATCAAACACAGTACAACCATCCTGGCATTACTCTGCCATACATACTAGGGTATTGCTAAACAATTAACATTCATATTATTTGTACAATATTGGTTTCGTTATAGTTGTTTTGACCATCCTACTCGATTAAATCCTCTATCACAGTGGTGGCTAACCTTTTTGGGCTCCTGTGCCAAAAATTGTGTGCATGCTTGCACGTTCACACTCACGTGCCAGCACCCAGAAGGTAATTCGCACCACCCCTGCGCCCCCTATGCATGCGCGCATAATCCCCACTCACCCACAGCCACTGCCCCTTTACCTGCATTGTGCCTCACAGCTGATTTTCAGCCGGTTTGAGGCCTTTTTCGGCCTCCCAAAGGCTTGAGGAAGGCTTCTGCAGGATTCTGCAGGCCGAAAACTAGCCCCATTTTGTCATTTCCTATATTTTCAGAAAAATAGGAAGTGATGAAACAGGGCTTGTTTTCAGCCTGCAAAGCCTGCAGAAGCCTTCTTCAAGTCTTTGGGAGGCCAAAAAAGGCTTTAAACTGGCCGAAAATCAGCTGTGAGGTGTGCACATACTCAATGAGGTAAGTTTGCCTGCAGCTCGCATGCCGGCACAAATGG